GTGTAAGAATGGTTCTTAGAGTAAAGTTAGGTAGCATTTCTCCGAAGGGTCTTAGTAATATTCCAATACATCTAAATCTACAGCTGTCATCCAATAGATCTCTTGTAAACTTACTATTGAATCATACTGCAAACAATGAGTGAGATTTTTTTTTTATTAGCAGACTTAACCAACCATGATTTATGTGAGCAGATAGTGCATGATAGGAAGAAGGAAGAGTATGTCTTGTTCTCAAGGATTCATTAGGAGTCTGTTGTTATTTCTGTGGTTGGTTTAAATGTTTTGGAAACAAGCACAGCCTAACTGGAAAAGAAACAGATTTTTTAGGATCCCTTGTAAGTACAAAGAAAGAACTGATGGCTAAGTATAAGTAATCTAGAATGGGTAGAAGAGGGGAAGAGCTTGAATATCAATTGTGACCATAAAATCCATGGCAATAATGAGGGCTATAGCTTAGACTTTCCTGTTGTGGGTACCTACAAAAAAAATATGAGAAACCATCCATTTGAAGAAGTCTTAAAGAAAGGAGTAGATTTTCTGTGAGATATGAAGGGATCTTGGCAAATAGGAAATGGTTTTCACAGATGCTGTGGGTGCCCCACCCAGCTTCCCTTACCACTTACCCTTTCTGCACATTCCACTGGTGTCTTACAACAAATATTTCAGATCCCCTAGTTAGTGTTTGCTCTCAAGGCACATGTGGCAAGGCCAGCAATGCCAGGGAGTCAGGCTGCCAGGATCATGCTGCAGATATTGAAGGAAGCAGGAGGAAAAAGCTCCCATCCTAAGGGCAAGATTCCCAGGCAGATTTTACCTGGTTTCCTGGAGTTATCTCAAGGGACTAACCTTGTGGTTCACACAAAAGGAACCACTGGCTCTTGCCCCATTCCTTGGCTTCATTCCCTTCCAGATGTCATTCCTTATCTCCTACTCTGCTTTGTAGCATTACCTTCCGAGCAAATCCCTCAGTCTCAAATCCTTGACTCTGGAAGGAAACCTCAGGCAACACAGCCCAAGAACCCCTGTGTTTATTCTAAATTACAGATAAAACCAATGGTCCTATATGATTGTTGTCAGAATAAAAAGAGATCTAATTATGAAAAAGAAGTAATGATTCTCGTGGCAATTATGACACAGCACAAACCAGAAGGACTCCAGGAAGTGCTCTGGTTTGAACCTTAAGGTCTGTTTATCAGTAGCTCTGTGGTTTTGAACGGGTTACTGAACTTCTGAGGGCTCTAGCTGTTTTAAAATGGAGGGAATTTTTATTGGGAGAGTTAACATAGGATACTCCATCTAAACTAGTGAGCCCTGTGCATGGAGTATAGCAAATGTTTAGAAACTAACTTCCTTGTCTGCATTCATTGTGTACTAATGCCAGGATCTTTGTTTTTTCCTATCAATTGAATTCTCAGCTTCTGAACCTACCATAAAAGCAATAAACTAACTACTACATGGGTGCACTTAACATTTCAGTTTACCAGACCTACTAAAGTATGTTCTTCCCAGTTGGAGATAAATATCATCTTATCTCAAGCTAGTTCAAATAACACACCCTTGGAAAACTCACAAAAGAGCTCAAAGTTCTCCTTAAGTTATACTATATATCCAAACCTTCCACCAGAGGATGCTCAGAATATCCCCTTTGCTACTACTTAGTCACTGAATGTGCTCTGTGGTTTCAGTTATTTGTAGAGAAGTTTGGTAAACCCCTTCTGACTTTTGGCATGCTTACATATATAAATTCAAGTTGTCTTCAGGGAGGTGGGAGCTGGGAAAGAATGGAAATCCCCAGGATTGGGGGAAGAGCTCATCAGAATTTATCACAGCTAAACTAAAGTTCAGCTGTTGGGACTAATCTTACCAAGTACTTCTGGAAGCAGCTTTTCTACTGGCTCCAAAAGATCCTTGCTCCAGATTTTACAGGTAAGATAAGGACATGGGCAAGGGTGGGAAGAGATTTGCAAGGTTCCGGTAGATCTTAAAACATTTTATCCAGTATAGCATGGCATTCTGCCTGACACGCTACATAATGGATCTAGTAAAGACTAAATTGTGGTATAGCCACATAGACAGCAGAATTCATTAAGTGTCTGCTAAGTTTGTTTCCTGCTGAATGAGACACAATAGCAGTGGGGAGTAACTGAAGGTTCAAAATGTCTTAATACTGTTTTTCTTCTTCTGCCACCTTATGTCCCATCATATAATTGTCACTAAGTGACATTTGTCTTTACTAACACCTGGTTTTGCTGTTTAAACTGTAGCCTGAATATTTTAAGAAGTTTTCATTATTTTCATGAGGGAGCAATAAATGAAAACGTCAACCAACATAAATATTTGCTGGCATTGTTAAGGACAAAAAAAAGAAAAGAGAAAATATAAAGAAAAGAAAAAGGAAAAGTTGAAACCCAGAATGAACAATGAAGCGGTTTCTTGAAAACAGCAATATATTGTTATCATATTGGCTTGCCCCCTAAACCCCAATGCCATCCACTCCTGCAATCTCCTTAGTCCTTTTTGTGTCAGTTCCTATTTTTTCTACTCTAGTGTCTCTGATGTTAGGATCACTTAATTCAACAGCTCCATATTGCTGTCCTCTGGCATGCATTCTTTCCAACTGTGGTAGAGGCCCATGACTTTTATAAATGTACAAGATGTGAGAGTGGATCAAAACACATAGAAAAAAAATGCACATTTGGGCTTGTTGTGGATTAGATTTAATTTCCAAACTCAATATTGGTCTAGCAATTTTGTCACTCCTTGGAACTCCTTCCTTCTCTCAACTTTTTTCCATAGCACATGCTAATGAGTCTCACGTTTGTTTGATTTCCACATCTCTCTTTGATCAGTGCCTTTTCCTTTCCCTCTAAACTTTGAACAAAACTACACAAAATAAATTAAAAGCAAACATAATAAAAACAACAAAAATAAAAACATAAAATCCAAGCTAGACTAACATGGATTTAAAAGAGAATTGTTTCTTCTGGAAAAATCTATCACCAACATTTCTTAGCATTTTCTTCTATTTCTTAGCATTTTTCTTCTTTGTACTTTTCCTCTCTCTCTCTCCTGCAAACCTCTTTTTTTAAATAGTAGCTGTACTGATATAAATACAGAGTCATTTACTTCCACTTTAGGAAACATTACTTCCACTTTAGGCTTAAAGAATTGAGCGAAATGCCAATGTGATAGCCAGTTACAAGGCTGAGAGATTGAAAATTAAATTTAACTCACTACAAATCCAAATATGCATTTGTTTTCTATGTGCTTTTTAAAAATATTTTTTAGTGGTCAATGAACCTATATTTTTTACTTATTTATGTGTGGTATTGAGAATCAAACCAACCCAGTGTGCCTCACACATGCTAGACAAGTGCTCTACCACTGAGCCAGATTCCCAGCCCTGTTTTCTATGTGTTTTGATCCACTCTTACATTGTTTTCATTTATAAAAGTCACGGGCTCTACTAAGAGTGGGAAAGAATGCATCCCAGAGGCACACATAAGCTGAGATGTAAATTGCAGAGCAGCAGTTATGAGTGTGGCTTGAACACTGTAAATACTCAAAGATGTGCTAGAGGTTTGGTCTTCTAAAAGCACTAAAGATATTACACAGAGAACACCTGGGAACAATATATAAAGCACTATTATTAATACACATGCTAATGCTATTCACGAGAAAGTCCAAAACCTTAAAGCTGTTAGCTCCCACATTAGTAAATTCCCTCAAAAGCATGAAGTTTGTAAGCTCAAAATATCTGTATACAGATTTAGTTATATAACTTCTGTTTTTATAGCTAATTAGTATAGATTATAATTGGGAGTTGCCACATTTTTCTAATCTAAATATGATTCTCACCTCTGCTACATGTAAGTCAGGCAGCCAAAATTCTACTAATCTGAAATGCCAATATTGCATTAGCAGTACATTAAAATGAAAAGACACCTGACATCTGAGCTTCTAAATTCATCATAAAATTGCCCCTGTCTGCAGTACAAGCATTCCCTGACTTCCATGCCCTGGAGCTGTGCCATGTGTGAAGGCAATTTGTGAATTCCTACTATTGTTTCCAAGCAGCAGTTTCTGTTTTTTCTTTCATTTAGAGGATTGACAGGGCTTTGGCTATGAGAAAGGGAGAGAATGGATCTTTATGGTTGTCAACAACAACAACAACAACAAAGAAATCCACAGCTTATATAGTCTACTACAACAAGAGTCCAGAAGTATTAATTTTAAGATGTCCATGAAAATAAAGTCAAACAGTGAATTTTTAGTTTTGTAAAATGGCAGAAAACTCTTCTTAATAGCATGACAAGTCAGAAAAGCAAGGATTTGCTTATGTCTCTATAGCTTAAAAATATTTTACCAGAGACTCCTCAGATTACAAAAGCTAAAGAACAGAAGTAGAAAGTGGTTAAACATTAATAAAAGAAGTTTTGTTTTCGCTCATATAACTAGTCATAAAATCATCATGCTTTGCACATTTGTTTCAATAAAGGGATTTATCAACTAAGTAAAAAGCACTTCAAAAGTACAGCTTTAAGAAATAAGCACCTGCAATTTATTTTTAATGCTAGATAATGGCTTAGAATTAATGCAATTCACGTTGGACCTGGACTTAAATAAGAGAAATACAAAAATTTATATTTGGCAAATAATCAAGCTAGGGACATAAAAAAAGGAATATAAGTAAACCAAAATCCAGGGGAAGGAGTTAGATACAAAGAACCAGTAGGTAAGATTCAGGAAATAAATTTTTCTATGTCAACCAAATATTTAAGAATAAGCAAGCTAACTGATAGCAGGCCTAGGACCGACCTTACCATGGTGCTCTTGATTATCTTTTTTTATATTTTGTTTTTTAATGTCTTCAGAAAGAGACCATGCTGAGGAACAGTTATGTTTTCAGGTTCAGTAAGCAAAATGTCTTTCTCTGCTTAAAGACTAGAAATTGCTGCTCATCCTACCTCTTTCCTTGAAGACTAAGTAACATCCCAGACATGGCCTCAGAGACCTACATGCCCGGCCCTGTGTGCCTCATCGAGAACATGAAGGGGCAGCTAGTGGTCAAGCAGGAAGCCCTGCAGATCCTGTCAGCCATCACTCAGCCCATGGTGGTGGTGGCCATCGTAGGAGTCTGCAACACAGGCAAATCCTACCTGATGAACCAGCTGGCTGGGAAGAAAAAGGGTGAGTGCCACCAACAGAGCTCTGCTGAGCCCTCTGTCCACCAAACTATGGGTGTCCAGCATGGGGATGGAGGGGAAAAAGACAGTGCCAAGGAGGGACAGTGAAAACCAGTGTTTGGGCCACACCTGGGTCTTTTAACTTGGGGAGATAAAGGAAATGTTTCTGTCCCTGACATATAACTTTTTAAAAATGTTGATCTTAATGTCTTTCAGGGAGAAACACAATATATTCCCCTAATACAGAATGAGATCAATGAAATAATTTCCATATGCATAATTATTATTATTATTATTATTATTATTATTATTTATATATGACAGAAGAATGCATTACAATTCTTATTACACATACAGAGTACAATTTTTCATATCTCTGATTATAGACAAAGTATATTCACACCAATTCCTGTCTTCATACATGTACTTTGGATAATAAGATGGTCCATATGCATAATTATAAACTTTAAAAAATTCACTTGGATACTATTATAAAAACCATAAAAATTTTCCACTTACAAAATTTGACTTTATTTCCCCATTTCTCTATTGTAATGAAGATCGTATTTTCTGCTGTTTTCTTATCTTGCTTTCCTTAAACCCTAACTGAATCATCAAGAAAATACACGAATTCCAAATCCCCTTCTCTGTGACAACCCCTGCACTCCCCTCTGCAGGCTTCTCTGTGGGCTCCACGGTGCAGTCTCACACCAAGGGAATCTGGATGTGGTGTGTGCCTCATCCTGAGAAGCCAGGCCACACCTTAGTTCTGCTGGACACCGAAGGCCTGGGTGATGTAGAGAAGGTAAGGACAGAGGATTCTTTTATGATTAAACTCCTTATCACTGAACATGCTTTGTACAAGCAGTTTTCCATTTTGTTTTTATAAATTTGTACTTTTACTTGACTGGACTATATTGTCCCTCATTTTGTTGTTTCTATTTTCAATAGTGTTTGGAAGCCTGAAGTGAGAAAATATATTTATAATGCAGAATGAATATTAGAACTACATTGATGTTTTTGCTTAGTAGTTCCCAGGTATATAAAAATGGTGCAAATAGACTCACTTTACAAGCTTATATGGTTAGTAGTGGGCACAGGATGAGATGAACTCTGTTCAAATCAAGGCTCTGGCACTTTTTGCTTTCTGACCATGACAGAAGAGTGTGTCTCCCTAAATTTTTTATATTCTCTTTGGTCTTATCTAACTCATCGTCGGAGAAGTAGACACATGGATCCTTTTTACTGCATGGGTCTTCTCTAGTTATATTCTAATAAGTATTTAACAACAAGTTCACAGAAGAAAATGAATTGGATTTGTACAACTTGACCATTCCATAAAGATTCCTATCATAATTAATTACAAGCTACTCAACTGAAGTCACTAAACTCAGACTTGAGAAGAGATGTACACAGTTGACTCTCATGAGCTGGTTTTTGCAACTAACCAAACTTTCTCTTGAATGTCCACTGTTTGTTTTTTATGTTTTGATTTTCACATTTGATTTACCTACCAAGATGCAAAGATAGTAATCCAAAACTTCAGCTTCAGTTTCCTTACAAAATGGAGATATTAATTATGAGTTCATCCCACAGCATTAAAATTAGATAAGATCAATAATGTGAACTCCCTTGTGGATAATAATTATTTGATAAAATAGATATATGTATTGTTCACATAGGCTGATTTTGTTTTAGTACCTGGAAAACCTTGATTTTAACTATTCTGGTTACCCCATTGACTATTAATTTTGCCATTATCTATCAGTGACTATAAGTGGGACTCTGGAGTTAGAAATGTATGCTTTAGGGTAAAATTATCAATGAGAAAACTATGGAAGTTCATGTGTTTGATCACTTGTGTTTTCCCTGCTTAACACTTGTATATCAGAATCTTATTTTCAATGATAGTTATTTGGAAATGCCATTTGACATGACTTAAATTTGTTTGACTTCTAGGGTGATGATAAGAATGATACCCAGATCTTTGCCCTGGCAATCCTTCTGAGCAGCACCTTTGTATACAATACCATGAACAAAATTGACCAGGGGGCTATTGGCCTACTGCAGTATCCTTGTGAGGTTCAGGATGGCACCAAAGCCACAGAGAACGCCATTCATCAGCTGCAAGTCTGTGAAACTTTGTAAATCCCCCAAATGAAAATGGGTGGACACTGAATGTACAGTCAAGAACCCTCATATTCACTGGTGATGAAATGTTGATTTGTTAGTTGCCAAATGCAAAATGCAGGTTTAGGAAACATGAAATCAAATATAGGCTTAGATGCTGTGCTATTTCTTCTACTTTTCCTTAATAATCTCAGCAATGTGACAGAACTGACAGATATACTCAGGGCAAGGACATTGCCTGACAATGGAGTGAAAGATGCTGATGACATTGGAAACTTCTTTCCAGACTTGGTGTGGACTCTAAGAGACTTCTACCTAAGCCTGGAAAGAGATGGACAACTCATGACAGCAGATGAATATCTGCAGAATTCACTGAAGATGAAGAAAGGTAAATAAATGCTTTGGTTTTGGAAAGAAGAAGGAAAGTAACCCAAGAAATGATCTCTGGGTATCATTCTTATCATCATCCTAGAAGTCAAAAAAAATGATCTCATTTTGGGTAGAAGGCTAAATGTATAATTTTCCCTATTTTCCACCTAGCTGTTTTGAAAAATAAATAATGAATATTATTGATTTCAAATGAAGTAATATGTTTAATATCAAAATTTATTACTCCCTTGTTCTTGGGAAAAATTCTTTCCTTTTTTCTTTCCCCTGATTAGTTATCCTTAATATTTTTCTAACGGTATATGATGACATAATAAATTGAGTAACACCAGGGAAAGGGCATATATTTGAGGAGAATAGATTAAAGTGAATGTAAATTCTAAAGAAAATAAATACTGTTTTTTCTTCTCCAGGTAGTGATCAAAGAACTCAAAGTTTCAATTTGCCTCGTCTGTGTATTCAGAAGTTCTTTCCAACAAAGAAGTGCTTTGTCTTTGACTCACCCACTCACCAGAAGAAGGTCTCCCAGCTAGAGACACTGAAGGAGGATGAGCTGAGTTTTCAGTTTGTGCAACAAATGGCAGAATTCTCTTCCCACATCTTCAACAAGTCCAAGATCAAGACACTTCCAGGAGGCATCAAGGTCAATGGACCTTGTGAGTATCTCTTTAAGGATTTTCTTTCTATTCAACATAATGTGTAACATGTAAGAAGGTCCTTGGGTCAACATTGCATAAACAATTACCAGTGTGCAAATCAGTTGCACCATGTTTGTAAAAGCTATAGTGAATACAAAAAGTATTTCTAGTATTTGTTTTAGTAATGCCTGTAAGGTTACATGAAATAGGAACATGATGAAGTTAGATATTTTATCCTTCAGTCAACCCCTGTTCATTTAGATTACTCCCCATAGGTTGGCAGCATTTGTTCAACAAATAAATTAGATGCATGTGGTGTGTCACAATTTTGGTAGATATAGTGACACATGCCTGTTCCCTGTGAAAACAGAACTTGGTTGCTACAAGTATTGAACTAAGGTCTAGTATTGAACTAGACCCTCTAAAGATATCCAATCAGACTTCTTCTTGCTCTAACTTTACCTAACAACTTCAGGTTTCATAACTTTGTAAATGATTGTTGTATTATTGAGGGAAGTAGAAAAATGACAAAGAAGGAAAACCAGGAAGTTCCAACACAGAATAAGGGACAATTGGTCTAAATTGTATAATTGGCTTCTTTTCAGAGAATGGTATCTATCATACTAACTTAAATACTTTAAAAAAATGAGAAAAGAGAAAATTTCGAAGAAAATGGAAATCCAAGGCAGAGGGAAATAAAAGGAGGATCAAAGAGGCAAAAAAAAATCCAACCACAGGAATGTGCATGATTTTATATGATCATCTGCTTATTTCTCCATGGAGAAGGATTAAAATCATACAATCATATATCTTGGGGCTGAGATTGTGGCTCAGCAGTAGAGCAATTGCCTAGCATGTGTGTTGCCCTAGGTTTGATTCTCAGTACCACATACAAATAAGTAAAAAAAAATTATGAACAATTAATACAAATATTTTTTAAAAAATCATACAAACATACATCTAGACATTTTCCCTATTTTCTTCTTTAGCCCCTATTTCTTTTCCCAAAGAAGGAAACACCTGTCTTCTTAATCTCAAATTTCCTAAAGAAAGTTATCTACTGGTCAGAAAGTTGTTGAATGAATGTTATCAGAACTAATTGACATTAATGAATCAATTAGTCAATTGTTTCATTGACTTTTTATCCAAATAACACCAGGATCTCTTCCTCTGTGCAGGTTTAGAGAACCTGGTGGTGACCTATGTCAATGCTATCAACAGTGGGGATCTGCCCTGCCTGGAGAATGTATTCCTGGCCCTGGCCCAGAGAGAGAATGCAGCTGCAATAAAAAGGGCACTTGCCCACTATGACCAGCTGATGGGCCAGAAGGTGCAGCTGCCCACAGAGACCCTCCAGGAGCTGCTGGACCTGCACAGGGCCATCGAGAGAGAGGCCATAGAAATCTTCAAAAAGAACTCTTTCAAGGATGAGGACCAAAGTTTCCAGAAGGAATTACAGGTAATTGTGTGTTTTATTCTAATTCAAGTGCTTTAGGATTAACAGAAGGAAAAATATTACTGTGAATAACACAATAAGACTTTTTTAAGAAAAACAATTCCTATTAGACTAGAAAATAGTGATATTTGCCTATGTGTACATATTGTCACTTTTCATTTGTAAACAAAATGTAAATGTAAATACCTGGGTCTGAAGTTTTCCTCTATGCACACAGCTCAACTTTACCATGTTACACCCAAGAGCTAAATTTGAATTGATTTCATTCCTTTAAAACATTGTATTTACAAGGGATAATATTGGCCAAAATATATTGTTGTATTCTTTGCATGTTTAAATACATAAAAACAAATCCCATCATTATATACAACTACAATGCACCAATAAAAATGTGAAAAGAAAAAAAATTGTATTTACAAAGTCATGTTTTATCTTTTTATTAAGCAGAGAGAATTGTCATTTGGATCTGGTAAAGTATGAGCTATCTAGGATTAATAGAGCAAGTTGACATCATTCCAGCTAATTGTTCACTTCTACTTCTTGAAGGTAGAAACCAGAAACCAGAAATGCTGAAAAAAAGTAGGCTGCATTTAAAATGAGGATTTGAGTTTAGAGGTCTGTGGACATAAGATCACATCTAAAGCAGAAATGCAAGAGAGGGGTTTCAGGAAATTTCACACTCAAACGTAAATGCCATATTTTGTAGACTATCATTCTTGTAACTATTTCAGGTTTTCTGGGAAGGGTATAGTCTTGCTTATATTCTTTGAAGTTTCTTAAATAAATAGAGAATCTCTTTAAAAATAAATTTCAGAAAGACTGAGGTGTTGCTAATATCTCTGTGGGTTCTTTCCCTTTGAAGACCCTACTAGATGCAAAGCAGAATGACATTTGTAAGCAGAATGAGAAAGCCTCTTCTGATTGTTGCTCAGCTTTACTTCAGGATATTTTTGGTCCTCTGGAAGAAGCAGTGAAGCAAGGGCTTTATTCTAAGCCAGGAGGCCATAATCTCTACCTTGAGAAGAAAAAGGAGCTAATGACAAAGTATCATCAAGAGCCCAGGAAAGGAATACAGGTATCTCCCAGGAGTCTATCTATTAATTATGTGAAATGCTGAGGTTTCTGTTTTAAAAAGCCATTGAGGACGGGACATACACACAGGAACAGAGGTGCAGTTTATGTCTTGCCTCCGAGTTACTCTGTAACTGAATGAGCATGCCTGGGAATTATGTACCTGGTGTTGATATTTTAGCACAAGATGTGGGTGTGATAATGATAGCTGTGGAATTAAATTGAACCATCACCATAATCACCAGAATTGTATTGCAAACATGAGTACTGACTGCAACAAAGGGACCATTTTTGGCTATACAGAACAGAATTTCAATTATTGTAATTTATTTAAGAAAAACTATAATTGGTTTATATATCTAAAATCAAAAGTTTTTAATATGAATACTTTCCAGAGTTCAAACAGTGTCCCCAGTTGTCTTGCTTTCCTTTTCCTCTCCAAACCCTATTTCATTATTCTGCTCCATTTTCCTGATAATTGGCTTCATTTTCAAATAGACTTGCCCCACCCCACGTGACAACCAGGAAGATACAATTGAATAAAAGTTCAATTCCTCTTAGTGCCTCAATCCTCTGGGAACAGAATATGTCTTTCCCAGCATCTTTACCAGTCTTTAAAACACTCAAGTTGCAGTATTTTTCCTTCTGTGAATGAGTTCTTTTCATCAAGTGGCCTTGGGTGCTCTGATTGACCCAGCCAGGTTCTGAACCCCACCTGTGGAGAGGCTTGATGGACATCTCCATCAGGTGCAGGCAGAACGCCTTCTAAGAGGAAAAGATGATTGATAGAACAAGAAATATAATTGTATCACATCGATAAACACAATTTCCTGGATCTTACTGTGTGTTTTGGGGGTTCCTAGGCTGAGGAAGCTCTACAAAAGTATTTAAAGTCCAAAGAGTTTGTGGGTAACGCTGTTCTACAGACAGACCAGGCTCTAACAGCCAAGGAAAAGGAGATGGAAGGTGAGAAGAAAACATAAGTAATGCAAAAAAGACAAGAAATGTCCAGAAATTTGAAATTCATGTATCCTGGCCTAGCTGAGATAATTCACCTGAAGCAAGACAGACAAAGAGGCTTCTTATCCCCACAGGTGGTATCTGAGTATGACAGGATCAGTTGCAGTATGGTTATCTGGAAGGAAAAACAATGGCAGGAATTTTCTGTGTGGATTGGAACAATAAGGAATGAGAATGGGAGGCCCAAAGGAGGGACAGAGTTGTCCTAGAAGGTTTATCCTTTTCCTTGTTCTCCTCAGAGGCACGTGTGAAAGCAGAGGCTGCCAAGGCTGAAGCAGAAAGTGCAGAGGTGATTCGTAGGCAGATGCAGCAAATGATGGAGGAGAAGGAGAGACTCCATCAGCAGCAAATAAGACAAATGGAAATACAAATAGCAAACATTTTGGCACAGCAACACAGGAATGTGGCTCGTCAGCTCCAGGTATTGAATCAGTTGTTTCAGCCTAGAGTTGTGTTTCTGTTCTTTCTCTATAAGGATGAGAGCATGAAACAGTGAGGGGAGATGAAGAGTACTAGGGTGGTTCGGGGCAGGAACTGTGGAATCAGACCACGGGGTGTGCATCCAAGCTCCACTATTACCAAATACATGGTATAAGCAAGTTATCTATGTCCTCTGTGCCTGTTTTCCTCTTGCATAGAATAGAAATGGGGGTTAGACATATTTGTGAAGTTATTATGATAAGCAAGTTCATTAATATTTGGATTTAGAATGGTGAGTGGAGTAGAATAAGAATATAAATTATTAAATCTATAGCAAGGCATTTCTGTCTCACAGTGATTAGCCTTTTCTGTTAATTTGTTAATGGCTCTGGAAAATCCTTTGCCCTGATTATACCTGTTACATCAATTTCATCTTGCATTTTGTCTTTGCTGTTGTCCTTGCCTTGGTCATCTCTGGTTCTTATTGCCTTGAACTCACAGTGCTTGTTTCACCAAGTCCTGTAGTTTATCATCACTCAATAAGCAGGAGTTCTTCTCTCCCAAACACTGTACAAAGCCCTCTGCATGCATTCTCTCATCTATTTACTGTGAAGCAGAACTGTTGTGTCCCCAGTTTTATATGAGGTTAGTGATGCCACAAGGAGATAACTAAATGTGAGTATCTCACACCCTTGTGAGGCATTGAAGCTGCCTTTCCCATTAGTGGTATCCTCAGTGTTGCTGCTCCCTAGATTCTTTGGCAAATTCCTGTGGGAATACCTCAAAAGATAGCCAACATCCCAACATTTTCTCTGGCTTCCCATGGAACCTGTGGGTATGAGTTTTTCAGTAACTACCCCAGGGTATTTTGGGGATTGTAGCTCTTTTCTGAAAGTGTTATGCTCCAATTTGGGGCCCCCAAAGACCACCAGAGACCCAAGATCAATGTAAGCAGCAAAGAGGTGTTTATTGCGAGCTAGCTCAGTTCTCCGTGCACACACACAGCAACTGGTGACGCTGAGAGGCCCCAAGCCCAGGGTTTGCAGCAGTTTTATACATTTTTTTGGAGAAGGCAGAGACTTCACATACATCATAGCATCTCTTAGCAAATCATCACACACCTCAGGGAAAATGAAATAACAACTCTAAAACATGATTAGCACATTCACTGGCAGGAACAAGTTGGGTAGGGGTGATTGGTCAGTACAAAAGGGGTATTCATTTGAACTGATTGGTTTAAGCCATGAGGGGTATACGTGCTGAACTACATGGTTTCCCAACATGTTATCAACCACCATAAACTACTGGGAGGGTCATCTGGCATCCCAGGTATTTCCCTGTCTCATGCTGATTGGTGGCTGCTAGGGGGCTGCTATGGATCCCCACCTAGCCTGACTGAGTCAGGGACACCTGGCGCAGCAGATCTCTCCTGTTATTTGTCGATAAACAACTTAGCAGGGTGGGAATCTGCTTAGGAGTGCTCTGTGGGTTTTTCCAAGGACAAAGGCCATGTCCCTTCCTTGGACAGGCTTTGCTCTGAGATAGAGGCTGGTTTTTCAAAAGGCATTATGGGAAAACTCTGGTATTTGATCCCCTCATTCTTTTCTTGTACGTCTCCCTCCAAAGTTTGGTGACCTGGACCATTTCCCTCATCTAAGGCTCAGACACCTCGCCTGACTGCACATCACCTAGATATTCTGTTTTTGTATCAGTTTCTTCTCTTATAAACACCATTAATATTTTCCTAAAAATGGAAAAGAGGATTGGGAAAGAGGATTGAAGTCAAGTTGTGACTAAGATTACTCAAGGAAACTAGGTAGCATAGGTGAAAAGCGAGCCTTGGGATGGAATTCTACAGACCCCAACATTTCAGGGACTGGATGTTTCTGGAACTAGAGAAAGAGAAATATGACTAACTATAGAAGTAGAATGGACCTACCTGAATGGAAAAGAAAAATATGGAAATGTCTATTGTCTACATGCATTAAAGGTAGTAAGGACAAGTCAGTGGTGTAGGCAATCAGAATGAAGCTGACCTTGCTTTTTGCTAAGTTTTATTGTTTTTATTTATTACTTCTCAGGAAAGGGGTGACATGATCCCTGAAGCTCAAATCACCAGGTTTCATGATCAGATCCAGCATCTCCACCGTGCTAGTGATTCATGTATCATACTCTAACGTACTGAAAACATCAGAGCCTCCTCTTCCTATTTCTTTTCACTGAAGATGAGAAACTAGAAAATGTGGGACAATGAACATTTGAACAATCCCAAAGCCTTTTGCCTAATCATTCAGTTTGTCTCTAGGTATGACAAGTTACCTAGGTGTTATTAACCACAGTCAAATGGAAATTGTTCTAGGTTTTGGCCTCTGTTCAGCATCACTCTTGTTGCTGGCCCAGTGCTAGATGTCATCAAAAGGAGGCCCCAGTGGTAAAGTTAAAACATTGTGCCCTTCTCAACTGGGTGAAGGCTGCTCTTCTATGAGCAATGGTGCAAATCATCAGCATTGTCAGTTGACCTCTGCATGGAGAAATTCCAAGTTTAAAGCAAATAATGTTATGATGAGATGGACATCTCTAGAGGATGAAAGGAAATACTACTGTGAAATTGTGTCATGTGCTTAAGGGCTAAAGAGAAAGCCTTTGCCTTTGCATTCATCCTCATCTGAGCTAGTTCATAACTCATAGAATTTTATTTTAAAAAACATTGGCCTTAATATTTATGTATTATTTAAAATCCTTTAGACCTCATAAATAATAGGCATAAGTAATGTGTAATGTGCCAAAATTCTGATGATGCTCATTTAGTTTTATACTTTCTATATGTGAAAGTTAAATCATCATAACCTTTGCAGTCTTTTGTGAGAGCCTGTTGATTATTTAAAAATATTGATTAAATGAATGTATCTGTTAGTATGCAGCTTTAACTATAAAATATTATTAAGCCATAAATATATTATGGTTTTAACTCTTTTTAAAAATGTTTCACAGTATTTAAAATTCTATGGGGAAAGCTTCTAAATTTTCATCAGGAGATTAGGAATTTCTTTAAAACTAGAATTAAAATACACTTTGCTATGCCTTTCTATTTGTTTTGTTTAACTCCAATAAAAGTTTTAAAAATTGTAGGAATACTCAACAAAGTTACATTTCTTTATCCCTTATAACTACTTAATTATGTAAAGAATTTCCAGTGGGGAGATATTAGAAGTGCATCATTTATTTTTTAGTTGCTCAAAATGTGTTTTATTTATATTCAGAAGAAAAACACATTAGTGTTAATATCTGTACTTTTTCTTCTGTTTTTTGAGAGTATCATTTCTCTAAACTTCTTGTATCAGCAAAGGTCTGCTCAGCTATGTTTCTGGACTTGACCTCAACTCCACAAGGTACCAGCACACTGGTTAAGCATTCGTTTAGCAATACTCTATAGGTAACTTTGTGAGCTATGCAGACCACAAAACAGAAAATTATTTAACATATATTTTACACCTGAGGAAATGGCATAGTCGGAAAGAAAACTTTCTATATCATTACTACTTATCTTCAACACACTTTTAAACC